TCCTTGTAATTATTGGAGACTTTTGGGCCCAACTCCTTCTTCAAACAGGAAACAAAATCACGTTTTCCTTATTTCTGCAACAAGTGTCGAGCGTCACTCTCCATGGTGTCGAGCGACACTAAAGCACAAAATTCATACTTGACGAATTTGATCCTGATTAAGCTCCAAAGTACTCCAAAGTCTTCAGTTAAGCTCCAAACGTACCTATGATCTGAAAAGACTCCAAAAAACTCGAAAGACACTAAAAAGACTCTATAAATAGGACTTATACCATGGTTAAAAACCATAAAAACCATGATATATCACTAATATTGCAAATAATTCTTTAATTGCATAAGAAATAAAAAAAATGTATGCTGTCTTGAATACATTTTATGAAAATAAAAATATCTAAAGATGATAAAATTATACACTTGAGAAAAAAAGGTGCAACAAACATTTTAGTACAACAATATTTTTTTAAAAAACTAAATAACTATACTTATACCTCCGAAACTGTTTAGGTATTAAATTTACAAATAAATTTAGTGAGAAATGTAACTTCTGAATAGTTGCAACGAATTATAAAATACATCATTCTTAGATATATGAACAAAAATATCTACATCTCCTTCTCATACATGCATCAAAGAGATTTTTGCTTAAATTAGAGAATGATATATTAAACACATATATAATATATATATATATATATTAAAATATATATATATATATATATATATTTATCTATAAATTGAATTATTTTGGAGTCAATATGATCCTCTAATTAGGAAAATGGCAGATTGTATAACTTGGTACAGGTCCATGCATGCCTTTTACCATAGGCTACATTTTCAGTAACATTGGTTGAGTTGGTAAAGGGTTTCAGTTCTCTGGTTAAGGGTCTCTACGAGACTTTGTGTTCATGAATTCAAATCTCGTAATAGTAATTTTAACTTTCAAATCATGATTTAAATCTTTATAACTCCATTACTTACGAAAGCAATCCTAAGTAACTTAGTGTGTTTGTCCTCCTTTAGTTTTAAATTTAGTGACTCAATTTTGCATTTATATGTTTGTTCTACCATTTTTTTTTTCTTTTGAGAGGTGTTTTACGCTTCAATATGTTTTACAATGACTAATTCATTTTAGCACAATTAAAATGTTCTATACCTTTCTTTTTATTCTATGCCAAACTATCACGGTATTACCTAGTTTTTTAAAGCTCTGATTTCATAATCCCTTTTGTAAAAAGCATTGACCAAGACAAGAACTTGGCAATGCGATAATATTTCAACAAGACATGCAGATAATATGAAAACTGATAAAAATTAGATCTCAAACGTCTTAAACATTAAAAAAAAAAAAGGAATACCAAAGGCGGTTCTTGAAACAACATATATAACAGGTTTTCTCTTTTTATTACGATTGGCTGGATTCAACATCATACCATTACGATATCGAGCTCTCTGTGGCCTTTTGGAAGTTCGTTTAGGTTGGCCACTGCCCCCTCTATCTCCAACTTGTTACTTGGAGAAAACGACAATGGTTTGATTAGCATAGTCTTGCCTACCATCCCTTGTGTTATCAAACGCGAGGCTAACGTAAACTCTTCTTTTGAACCGCTAAAGTTAGACAGCCTTACAGTATATGCACTGAAGTTAGCGTGAGAAAACGGTTTTGTCTCTTCCCAAAACTGCTTCTGTGTTCTTGCAATAGAAGTCTCAACTTTCCTCGGAGAATTGCTTTTCTATATATGCAAAAGAAAATGGAAAAAAAGTCAATGTATCGGACATCTAGATAACTATAGGTATGTATATATAGCTTACAACTTACAAGCAAACGTTATGAAAAACACGAACATTGCTTATTATGTATATCCATCCGGTTATTATTCAAAACATGAAATATGAAATGAACGTACCTTGAATAAGATCTCAAGTTCTTCCATTTCTCTAGGACATGCAGCTAAGATTTCATGTAGCATCTCAACTTCTTTTGTATTTGCCAAGTCTACACTTACTGACATCGATGCAAACTCACTCAAAAAGTCACGTGATCTCCTCATCAAGAACTCATGTCCAATGCTTTTTTTCTCCTTAATTATATTCATAATTAATGTGTCAAAGATGTCAAATTAAGTATAGATTAGCTAAATACAATTGAATGCAAAGAAATAAATACCTGATCGGGGCATGATATACTATAACTGGTGTGAGCATATAATGTAGTCCAATAGTTTCTGTAAAACTGGAGTCTAGGACTCGCAATAACGACCTTCTCTTTCTCACACAAGAGATTTCCGATGGTGAGGATGTCAAGATTTGGTGAAGACACTTCAATGGCATCAATATTATAACAGGATAGATACAAGAACTTTAAGTTGGGGTTCTCAATTTTCAGAAGACCTCTTCCTTTGTGGCAATTGATATCAACTACAAGCACTTCAAGAGAAGGGCAAGACACGAGGACTACGTTAAAGACTCCAACCCCGGCGGAAATGCCAGTGAGTTCTAGCTTCTTTATATTCCAGCAGTTGTCGAAAGCATGTGAGGTTTCTATGTTATACCGACTTAAAGTCAGTGAATCTAGGCATGGATGGGAAAATGATTCTGGAGGCAAGTCGAGTGTGATGGTAGGGTTTGGTCTAAAAGGGCATATAAAGTTTTTAAGTGTGAGATGCTTGATGTGTTTCACATGAATCAATGACCGAATCCAAGCCTCGACCATCCCGTCTTCACATTGATATGGGTAATAAATGATTGTGCATTTTTCCAAATGGCCATGGTGACGTTTATAACCTACAAGGACAACTAATGATTTAGGACATGTATGTTTCTATGTCGCAAAAACAAACATAAAAATTGATATATGTAATTGGTATATATATATATAACCAAAAAAGTTGTAGGGAGACACAAATGTTAAATAGTTAAATACTAAATCAAACATGCAAACTATAATTTCATACAAAAATGTAAAGAATATATTTTGTATGCAAGTAATTCTATGTGGAACAAGGCAACAGACTTATGCTTCCCTACAATTCCTGTTCACAAAATAATAAATTCATGACCTATATTCATTTCAAATACATTTTTCTTTTTTTTCAATATGGAAATTCCATATCTTGTTTACATCTATCAAAACCAGGATCAGCCTTTGATAAGTCATTATTTTCAATGGAAATCGAACTCACTGATCTTAAAACATTGATTATAAATAGTTTTTGAAAAGTTGAGTTTTCTGCTCTAAATACTGTTAACAATTATCTTTCACATTGTAAATTCAAAATATAATCCAACAAATACATTACAATAACAACACCAAACTTGTTAAATATCTCAAATAATTTGGAACCTCTTTTTTAAAAAAAGTCATGTACTTTGATAGCAAACTATAGAAAATGTATTCATGGGTTATCTAGGTTTTGCTTTTGCACTTAGAACAACAAAGGATAACCTAATTTATAGAATTCATGGGTTATCTTAGAGTTTTGCAACATAACAACAACCTAGATCATCAGTTTATAGATCAGACCTATTGTTTTTATCCAAAAAGCCATATATATGAGAAACTAATGAGAAAATGAAATGGACCTTGGCCATTGATTTAGCGGCATGATGATCAGTAGAATGGTACCAAAGAGGTCTGATTACGGCCAACTTTCATAGGTTGAAGAAGAGACGAGACACATCCTTCCACACATGCACGCATCGATTTGATAGAACACTTGTCCTCATGGCTTCTTTGAGGGATAATCTTGATAAGATTTTAACCAATAAATCGTTTGGGAGTTTGCTGATGCGATCATCGGTATTGATCGCATCAACAATACTTTTTTTTTGTGCATCAGATGTTAAAGGTGATCTCTCCATGGATAGGATCGATGAAAAGAAGTTTGAAATCTTTTGTGAAGAACAGAGACACGAAAAAGAAAAAATACTTTTTGATTTGAAGTTCTTCACGTACGTATAAAGTATAAAGCGATATGAGGATGGAGGTTTATATATACTTGATGTAGTTAATTACGAGGAGACACAAAAAGATTAATTAGAGATAAATACAATGTTTGGGGTTGTTGTCTTCATCTAGTAGATTTAAAATTATTTTCCTTTAGCACCCAATGGAAACAAAATAAAATATAATAAATGTTTTCTTTCTTGACAGATTTGTTACCAAATAAAAATTGTTGTCTCTGCAAAAATCCCAAAATATATATGCAAAATAAACTAATATTGCAAATAATTCATTAATAGAATTATGTGGCTCTGATTACATTAATTGTATGAAAATAAAAAGATCAAAAGATGAAAAAAAATACACTTAGAGAAAGAAAATCCTAGTGTTTATAGAAAAAAAAATCCAACAAATTTTTTTTCAATAACTATAATTATAAAACTGTTTTTAGTATTGAATCTTCGAATAAATTTAGCGACAAATATCAATCTTAAATATTTGTAGGGAGTAACAATATACATAATTTCTTAGAACCAAGTTTTCTTCTCATACATGCATCAAAGAGATTTATTACTTAAATCAGAATGATATATATACATATACATATATATATATATATATTCCTTAAATGGATATTTTGTAAAATTTTAGAGTTAATTAGCAAAATAGCAATATGAGATCCGCCTTAACCCGATAATGAAATTTGGTGTTGCTGGGAGACCTATTCCAAACCTGTAGTCCGATTAGGCCGATATGGTCTATGCTCAAGAAAACCACAACTTAAATGGCAATTTTATATATATATATAAAAAAAAATCTAATAATGCCCAAAAACGCTAAAACCACGCTAAGTCTTCATACCACAATCACGTTTAGACCAGCTTCTGTATTGTTCGGACTGTAACATGGTATCGTTTATTTGATTTTTTTTTTTGCAACAATGAGTTAAGAAAAAGAAAGGAGAAAATTTGTTTTGGTTATACGATGAGAGGGAGGCAAGAAATTGTTATATAGCAAAAAGGTAGAGAAGCATTTTGGAAACCTATTAAGTGAGCTCAACAAAGTCGAGCTGAGAAGAAGATAACTTTGAACCTGAGCTAATTCTCTAAAGTAATGATCATAAAAGCAAGATCTTAGATTCATGGAGTCATACAACAACTTGGTTCTTTCAAAGCCAATAATGAAGCAATGATGTAAGAAGACCCAGCTCGTGGAAGGAATGTTCACAAAGGATTCTACTTTCTACCTCATCAACTAATCCGCAAACTACTCAACCACAAGTCCCCGGAGATTCAGACAAATCGTATCTATTGACTGCAACCGTTGAGCGAGTCCCATTGATTTTGACCTTCAAGCAGCTAAGCCTCTTCTTCTCCTGTCAGTCTCTATCAAGGTCCTTGAAATATTGAAGGTTTTTACTTGCGGTTACCAACAGGAGCAAAGACTGGAAGCTGGTTTGAGGCTGAGTCTCTTCTGAATCTAGCTTCTCGAGGCAATGTCAATGTCATTCTCTCTTGTCCCTCTCTTCCCGAGTCTCCTTCATGTCTAAGGCTATCTCTGTTCGGAATATTCACCAGAGGACCCCCAAAGAAGATTGAGTCACCTGTATACGTAAGTCTCTCTCCTTGCTGCAATGGAGGAGGAGCCTTACCAGATGAAGGTGGAAGAACAACGGGTCTTGGATTCTGAGTGTTACCCATGTGTGAGATAGGAAGTGGCTGGTTCTGTGAGAACAATCTGGTTCTTGCCTCAGATGTTGTTGCAGGAACTGATACATACCTACCTGCTTCTTGGTCCCAAACAACTGATGTTCTTCTCACATCTCTCAGAAGAGAAGCTGAAGGAGCAGTGTGAAGCAATGGATCGGGGTTGTTTCCTTTCTGCATTATCTTTGCATCAAAGGTTGAGTGGATCAAGTGGTTGGTCGCTGGATTAAGAGGTGGACGAGGAGCATTTAATGATGCCGGTGCAGTGAAGCGGTGGCCAGCTGTATGAGACTGAGGGAGAGGGCTAAGCGTGACGGCCTCGTGAACATGGCTAGGACTGCTGAAACTGCTCATACTGTGTGTCCCTGTCTCGTACTCGTCCCTGCTACCTTGGCTTTGAGCAAAAGAGTTTCTAGAAAGAGACAACCTTGGATCATTGTTTCTCATTTCTTTACTCAACACAGCTCCATTTGCATCTGTGCTTACACTGCTGATGACACTGATGGTGCCACTAGAACTAAGGTCATCGTCTTGTCCATGACGGTTTTCTATCGGTCTTAAGACAGACGAGGATGCTCTGGCTCTGGCTGCTGCCCTTGTAGCTTCATTTGAATTCAGCTTTGCGAGTTTCCAAGCACTGATTTTGACAGGTCTCTTTGGGATCTTGTTACCCCTCTCTGCTGATTCAGCTGCATCTGGATCTATGGTCGATGGGACCATTCCAGGGTCCAAATGAGGAATGACTTCATCCTGCAGCAACAAGTTAGAAGCATCAAACCAACATATCACATTGAACAGAAACTCGGTGTAAACTGTTTGAAAATTCATACCTGATAATCAACAAAGACTCTAGGAGGAGTGCACCAGGCTCCCTTATATGGTAGACCAAGAGAGCTTCCACCACTAAAACCAGTCGTGGCAGATCCAGAGGGAGAATACAAAACGTTAGGCATTTCCTCATCAATCGAAGCTCCAGCTGGCGCCTCGCTCATTGCTCTCATTGCCACAACATACTCATAAGTTGTAATGCCCTGTTGGTATTAAACAGAGAAAAAATGAGCTCACACTCCTTAGAACATGCGATCAGGACCAACTACAAACGAAGCAGATGACATAATTTGTATACCATAACCGGTGAGACGTGTTAGAGGAATTGTTCATATGGTCTTAATCATAAAGAAAAAAGGCTGTCAAAACAAAATAAAACAAGTCTATCTTCACAACTATGAAGATTGCATTTTCATGTGCTACCATGCATGTAGATTGTCTATGAGATTAAAATACGTTCTTAGCAAGATTCATACCAATAAGTTCTTTCGTACTCACCTTTTTAATGAGGAGCATATGGAAAAAGAAAAGTTCACCGAGTGGAAACAATGCCAGAATGGAAACAGCAGTGCAGAGACTCTGCATAGATTGTAAGCAAGTATCAGGTACATCAACAAATTGAAACTAACCTTATTGCAACTTCTTTTACACTAAGAATACTTACAACAATCGTAGCAAAAGGTGCCCGAGAAAACCCATTTCCGAGTCTATTGACGATCTCGGTTTCCATGCCTTTCTTATTAACAAATACCCGCACTATCACTGCAATTCCAACTGCTGCTTCAATAAGGAGCTGAGAAGGAGAGAGATTTTATTTGATTACTGGTTAAGCAAAAAAAGTGAGTTTGATAAATAACATATCAGGAGGAGCATATACGTACCCAGAGAAGACTAGCAGCCATCAGGGATATAAAAGTGATATAATTCTTGCGACCAACACAGTTGTTAAGCCACTGTAGCATTAAAATACAGTTGTGTCATTTGATCGCACCAATAAAACTCTCTAAAGAACACAATCTACTTTTGCAACAGTGTGAAATACTTACTCGGCAATGATGATCGAAACAGTCTACACATTTGTCGCAACTTCGACAATGCTTGCTAAACTTACGGACCTGTCACAAAGAAGGGATTAAGGTGAATCATTGATTTTCATTCCTCTCTTCAACATTCCTAAGCTAAGCAACAAAGGATCCAAGCATAATTCAATATCAAAGTATGTAAAAGTGGACATGAAATTTAGTAGAATTATTCAACCAGTTGCATAATTCCCTACCTCAGCATTGCACAAAGTGCAAAACAGAGCTTCTTCCCTGTCCCCTTGCTGTTCATCTATCTCTTCTTTCTTGCGACAATCTTCGTAAACAAACACACCACACAGGATCGCCAAAGGATTAAAGCAAGATTTTTCTCCAGCTGATTCCAGTCTTCTTTGAGCATCTCCAACAGAGCCTTTCACGCTAGAGGTTGCTGGTAAAGTAGAAGCCTTGGAGGCAACAGAAGGAGAAGACAGCACCTGGCTGCCCGTTTCATTAAACTTCCTCGAGACATCTTTGTCGTGTCCCATTTCGGTTCTGTCTGCACCTCTTTCGAATTTCGACATGATTCCTGGATCCGCAGGATTGATTGCAGTACAACGAACATAAAGAACAAAGACAATGAGAGCCTGCAAGCATCAAAATATGATTTGTTTGCATCAAATAAACCACTTAGCCATCAAAACTAACCAAAGAGAAGCTTATCAATGATTTAACCCAACAATCTCCAACTCATGATCAAACAAAACTATAAGATTTGTTTGTGATTAACATACCACTGGAGAGTAAACACCGAGGAGAATAAACTCCCATAAGCGTCCTCCAACGAAAGGAGCGAAAAAAGCATAGAACGCTACACCCAATAAGCAGAAAACTGTAATTGCAACCACCTGAAACAAACAAAAAAAAAATCAACAAAAACACTTTTTCCAATAAACAAAAACAACAACAACAACAAAAAAAACAGAAGCACAATGTATGTAATTGAGAATTAGGTTGAAATCGAGACCTGGAATTTGTGAGCGGGAAGTTGCCAACCATGTTTCCTCACCATTTTTGATCCCAAAAAGCGAAACGAAACCCTAACTTCAACGGCGCCGCTGCAAATCGTAAGGAGAAATTTTGCTCGAAACCCAATAAATGGGGAAAACGGACTGAGAAAAAAATATCTTCTGTCTCTGTATTCGTCTCTCTTATTATGGTAGGTCAGTCATAGTAAAGTGACGAAAGAGGAAAGTAGACTGAAAATTAAAAAATAATGAGAAATTGTCAAATTTTCGAATTAGCAAAAAGCTGGGTAATATACTGAGGAAGAGCTTACTGAATAAGGAGAAGAAGAAATTGAGCTGAAATTGAGTTAACTGATATTATTCCATGGCGAGAGTCCAAAGTAGCTGGAGAAAAGAGAAGAAAATTGAAATTGAAAGGAATTTTTAGAAGAGAGAAAAATGACAAAATAGAAAAGCGTTGACAGACTAAAAGTCGAGAACGGACAAGTGAAAGTGGTTACCAAAGCTTTTATTCTTTGCTGACGTGTTTATTACAATCTCTTTGATCTTTTCCCTTTCTCTTTTTTTTTTCTTTGTTTTTTCTACTTTTTTTTTCATCAATCTATAGAGTGATTTTTTTTGTTTCATCAATCTAAAGGGTCCAAATGATAGTAATGAGTAAAACTAGTTGAAAAATAAGGGTAGAAAATAATTGAGTGAAATAAAATAAAAAAGTCATCTAATTATAGATGATTCAGTTAATTCTCCTCCAAAATATTAGAGTGCTAAATAGTAGAGGAATGATTTCCTCTCAAATTTTCATTTTTCAAAAAAAAACGAATGGAATTAGTTGTATTAATTTTTTCACACTTTCAACTTAAATAGAGGAACTGTGGATGAAGGTTTAATTCCATCAACTTTTATCCAAGCTAAATGATAAAAAATTAGTGGAATGTTTTATTTCCACCAATTTTTGTTCCTTTGAACAAACAATCATATGTACTCTAAGTGTGTTTGATTAGTTTTTCTGAATTCACAATTGAGGTTTGTTTTAGAGTGATCTTCGAAACTATGGGTTTGATTACCAACTATTGTGATTGGTACCAAAACATTTTTTAAGTTACCAATTAAATTGACGGTTAATAGAAAAAGATGGTAGCAGAAGATTGTTGGAAGAAAGAGTAAAACAAAGTATTATAGTTTAGTTGAAAACAAAAAAAAAAACTATAAAGTTATTAAGGAGAATATAGGGCTTGCTAAGTCTTAAAAGTCTTAAAAACTATAAAGTTAGTAAAACAAATTTTATAAGATAAAATTTACTAAAAAACTATATGTATTTTTAAAATTTAAAATGAAGTTCTCAAGCTTTCTAATAGCGACGCGCCTAAAACGCCAGACGCGCCTTGAAGGAATCGCGTCTGTAACAAACGCTGTATTGAGTGAGAAAGAGGCGAGTAGCGATTCTAAGAACAACAAAAAAAACATATCAAGATCCCTAAAAATTCCAAAAAAGGAACCCTAGATTTTCTCTCCTTCACGCTCCTTGTGTTCTCTCACTCGCTTTGCTTTCCCCACTCGCCTCCTGTACTTCTTCTTCTTCTCTGCTCTGCTCTTCTCACGTGAGATTTTACTCTCTCTCCCTCTCTACTATCTATCTCCTTTCTCGCTTAGATTCCTGAATTTCGTGGTTTCTTAGTTTGGATATTAGGTTTTTGTGCTTTATGATACCAAAATTCTGTATACCTTTTGCTGATACTTATGAAAGTAGACTTCTTTACTCTCTGCTGCCGAAAAAATCAAGGCTTTTTGAGAAATTTTACTCATTTCTGGCTTAGAACTGGAACTTTCTATCACTAGAAAATATGTTGTTGAAATTCTTCACTTCTATAAGTGTTTCCAAAAGCTAACAATAGCAAAGTTTGGTTTTTGTGGATGGATACATAATAGATGTCTCCTATGTTCTTATCAAGTTTGATTGTGTCATTTTCAGGTGCTAAAGTAAAATTATATGTTGGAAAGATTTAACTTTCCAGTTTCATGGGAGACAATGGTGGGGTCTGAGTAGTTGCTTCTGAGTGTGTTAAGGTCTCTAGTGAATCCAAATGTGGCTAACTTGAAGATGGATCTGCAAGTTAGTAATCAGGTCAGTGATGCAGGGCATGAAAACATGGTTGGCGTTGTGGTTGAATCTCATAGTAACAGAGATGTAGGAATCGTCGTTGATGATCTCAGAACAGGAGGTCTTGGCTTTAGTGGTGATCTGGATCTTGAGCCACGGAATGGTATTGACTTCGACACACACGAGGCAGCGTATTCGTTTTATCAAGAATACGCGAAATCAATGGGTTTTACTACCTCGATCAAGAACAGCCGACGCTCCAAGAAGACTAAAGATTTCATCGACGCCAAGTTCGCTTGTTCAAGATACGGTGTGACTCCAGAGTCCGAGAGTGGTAGTAGTAGTAGTAGTCGAAGGTCAAGTGTGAAGAAAACAGATTGCAAGGCGAGTATGCATGTGAAGAGAAGACCAGATGGGAAATGGATAATTCATGAGTTTATAAAAGATCACAATCACGAGCTTTTACCTGCTCTTGCTTACCATTTCCGGATTCAGAGGAATGTGAAGTTAGCTGAGAAGAATAATATTGACATCTTGCACGCGGTTAGTGAACGTACCAGGAAAATGTATGTTGAGATGTCGAGACAGTCTGGGGGATATAAGAACATCGGGCTTGTTCCTCAGACAGATGTCAACAGTCAGGTTGATAAGGGTCGGTATCTGGCTTTGGAAGAAGGAGATTCTCAATTACTGCTTGAGTACTTTAAGCGTATTAAGAAGGAAAACCCCAAATTCTTTTATGCGATAGACTTAAACGAGGAGCAACGGTTAAGAAATCTGTTTTGGGCTGATGCTAAGAGCAGAGATGATTATTTGAGTTTCAATGATGTTGTATCCTTTGATACTACTTATGTGAAGTTTAACGATAAGTTGCCATTAGCTTTATTTATAGGTGTGAACCATCACTCCCAACCTATGTTGCTTGGCTGTGCATTGGTTGCTGATGAGTCTAAGGAGACATTTGTGTGGCTGATAAAAACGTGGCTTCGAGCAATGGGTGGTCGAGCTCCTAAAGTTATACTCACTGACCAAGATAAACTCTTGATGGCCGCCGTTTCAGAGCTGTTACCAAACACTCGTCATTGCTTTGCGTTATGGCATGTGTTGGAAAAGATTCCTGAATATTTCTCACATGTGATGAAACGGCATGAGAATTTCTTGCGGAAGTTCAATAAGTGCATCTTCAGATCGTGGACGGGTGATCAGTTTGAGATGAGATGGTGGAAAATGGTCAGCCGATTCGGACTTGAGGAAGATGAGTGGCTGCAATGGTTGCATGAACATCGCCAAAAGTGGGTGCCCACTTTCATGAGCGATGTGTTTCTTGCGGGAATGTCCACATCTCAGCGTTCAGAAAGTGTGAACTCTTTCTTCGATAAGTACATCCACAAGAAAATCACGCTGAAAGAGTTCTTGAGGCAGTACGGTGCGATTCTGCAGAACAGGTACGAAGAGGAATCTGTTGCAGATTTCGATACTTGTCACAAGCAGCCTGCGTTGAAGTCTCCCTCGCCGTGGGAGAAGCAAATGGCAACAACTTACACACACACGATATTCAAGAAATTTCAAGTCGAGGTATTAGGGGTTGTCGCTTGCCATCCTAGAAAGGAGAAAGAAGATGAGAATATGGCGACGTTTAGAGTTCAAGACTGTGAAAAAGACGACGAATATTTTGTAACCTGGAGCAAAACTAAGTCCGAGCTTTGCTGTTTCTGCCATATGTTTGAATACAAAGGGTTTCTTTGTCGTCATGCTTTGATGATTCTGCAGATATGTGGTTTTGCCAGCATACCGCCTCGGTATATATTGAAAAGATGGACAAAAGATGCTAAGAGTGGAGTATTGGCTGGTGAAGGAGCAGACCAGATACAGACCAGAGCTCAGCGTTATAACGATTTGTGTCGTCGAGCCATTGAACTGAGTGAGGAAGGTTGTGTGTCAGAAGAAAACTACAATATTGTATTGCGCACTCTGGTTGAGACCCTGAAGAATTGTGTCGACCTGAATAATTCGAGAAGCAACATCACTGAGTCTAATAGCCAGCTTAATAATGGTGCTCACGAAGAAGAAAACCAGGTTATGGCCAGCCTAAAAGCAACAAAAAAGAAGACCGTTGTTAGGAAAAGAAAGGTGAAATTTTTTATTGAAACTTCTATTCAATCTAAACCTATACTCGTGCATTTGCTTAGTTTAAAAGACTTAAAAGAAATACTCAAAATGATCTGCATGCAGGGACAACCAGAGGCTAGCCAAATGCTTGAATCTCAACAGAGCTTGCAACCAATGGTTTGTTCTTTGATTTGATCTTCTCTAATTAATTTGATCAATGTAAAAGCGCATTTGAAGAGTAGTATGTGTTGGAGATGGCTCTGTAGTTTAAACATTTTGCTTTTATTGTTTGTGCAGGAAATAATTAGTTCAGAGGGACTGAGCATCAATGGTTTCTATGGTCCTCAACAGAACGTTCAAGGATTGGTATGTTATGTTGGTTGTTTATTACAAACCTGTCTAAGCGGATCCGACATCTATACTAAACCTGTTTTAACTGTGGATATAGTTAAATCTAATGGAGCCACCACACGAAGGCTACTATGTAAATCAACGAACCATCCAAGGCCTGGTGGGTTATATATATGTTTGAAAAAAAAAAAAAAAAAAACAACACCAATGATGTGCCAAGTATAAGTTAATGTGAAATGATAAAGAATTGTCGTGTTTTGGTTGTTTTGATTTCAGGGACAGTTGAATTCCATAGCACCGGTGCAGGATAGCTTCTTCACGAATCAGCAAGGCATGCCCGGACTGGTACATTATCCTATCTTACCCTATAAACTCCTCGAAAAAGTGATTTTAGAAGTGTGTCATGAATGATGTTATTGTAAATTTTTATTGGTGCAGGGGCAAATAGATTTCAGGCCTCCCCCAAACTTTACTTACAGTTTACAGGTCCCAGCTCCATGATCCTTAGCTGTTTATCCTTGAATGATGATTGTCTTTCTTTGCTTGAAATATTGTTTTTTTTTTCTTATTTCTTTCAGGATGAGCATCTGAGATCTGCCCAATTGCCTGGTAGTTCATCAAGAGAGCTGTAGTAACATGTTAATGATTATATTCAAGAGAATCCAAGCATTTGCAAAACATGAGAAAAGAAAGAAAAAAACTCACAGATCTTCCATTGAGCTGAGTTGCAATTTATAAGCTAAATATCTTTTAGATTGGTTGTGTATATTAGGGGTTTTCTTTGATGTATGAATATGTCTGAATTGGTGTGTATCTGACTAAATAATTAATTTGAGCTCTGTGTCATTAAAATAGAAGCAAACCGTAACACTGAATTTCTCATGTTGGTAAAGAACAAATCCATTGGTTTTGAGTAGGTCAATGTTGTCGATTTTCCTTTTCGTATCCTTTCTTCTCTCTGCTGCTGATTTTTTTTCTTATTTATGGTTGTATTTGGTTCTTTTGGGACTCCTTGTAAGCGTCTTTAAATTTATCTAATTAATGAAAAATCTTTAACCAAATATATAGTATTGGACAACTAATCTCATTACACTACACAGACAAGAGAGAAAACTTTGTTAATTTATTTTTGGGATAATATATGAAAATAAATCTGATATATTAGATAAAAATTCAAGGGATACACTTTTTATAATTAAAAAAAGTACATAATATGATCCAATATGGCTAAAATGTCGTGAATCATGTGGTTAAGCTCCAAAAAAAGGATGAGATAGCCGATTTCGTCTAGAAGCCCAATATTTAAATTAAAAAAAAAAAAAAGCAAGTAACCATTTCGTCTTTGTAGCGACTGTTTTACTTTTACTTTATCTATGTGCGTTGTTTACAAACTTCTGAAAATATATCTTTTTTACTATATATAGAACACGTCAAAAAATTAGAAATACTGTCCTTAAAAAAAATGAATTGGAATATCTCGAATCATATCCTCTTTTAATATATCCTTGCGTTATCTTAATAACTTCCGACAGGGAATGTAACAGATCTCGAGATAATAATTTGACCCAATATGGCTAAAATTTTGTGAATCAATGTGGTTAAACCCGAAAGAAAAAAAAAACGTATATTTCCCCGGTCAATTTGGGAGTTGTGTTAGGTGGATGGGCCCTTCTGACACCGATATGTCTTTTTTCAGACATACCGATTTGTTTTTTTTAGTAGTTGGTGAAAAACATAAGAAGAGAAGGAAAGTTTGAGTTTTGAGAAAAACAGAGAGATATCAATGGAGAGAATAAATCAAACATTCTTCTTGTCTCATGGATCTCCGACTTTGAGCATAGACGATACATTGGAAGCGAGACAATTCTTCAAATCATGGAGCCAAAAAGTTTTTCCACAGAAACCCAAATCGATCTTGGTCATCTCTGCACATTGGGACACCAAATTCCCATCTGTCAACACTGTTCTCCGCAATTCCACCATCCACGATTTCTATGGCTTCCCTGATCCCATGTACAAGGTCTCTTTCATCTTTTCTTTCCAAACAAACAAACCAAAACCCTAATTTTGTTCTGTCCCAGATTCTTAGATGAACAGAAGTTTTTTATTGAATATCGTTGAAGAAATGCATCAAATTTTCGATGTTGGGGTCGATTACATCAAAAATGTCTCAGATTTTCAATTTTGGGGTCAATTACACCAGAAAAGTTTCAATGGGTCACTTTTGAATTTTGCAGCTGAAATATGAAGCACCAGGAGCTATTGAATTGAGAAAACAAAATAAAACAAAAACCCTAACTTTGTTCTGTCCAGATAGCAGATCGTTGAAGAAATGCATTTGGGAGTAAAAAAGTTTCAATTTTTTAATATTGAGTCAATTTGAATTTTTGGCAGCTGAAATATGAAGCACCAGGAGCTATTGAATTGGGAAAAAGGGTTAAAGAGTTGTTAATGGGAGAAGGAGGATTGAAGCGTGTTGATGAAGATAACAAGAGAGGGCTTGATCATGGAGCTTGGGTTCCTCTTATGTTGATGTATCCAGAGGCTGATATACCGATTTGTCAGCTCTCTGTTCAGTCATCTCAGAGTGCGAGTTACCATTACAACATGGGCAAAGCATTAGCTCCATTGAAAGACGAAGGTGTTCTTATCATTGGCTCTGGAAGTGCTGTTCATAACCTGAGGAAGCTTGACTTTAATATCACTAATGGCTCAGCCGTTCCTTGGGCTTTGTCCTTTGATCATTGGCTTAGAGATTCTCTCCTTCAAGGAAGGTAAAAGAATTGCAAACAATCTTGTTTTGATGGTTAATGTGTAAGAGTCTCTCACTGATTGTTTGTTTTTGGCAGATATGGAGATGTGAATGAGTGGGAAGAGAAAGCTCCAAATGCGAAAATGGCGCATCCATGGCCCGAGCATTTTTACCCGTTACACGTTGCAATGGGTGCAGCAGGTGAAAATGCAAAGGCTGAGCAAATCCACACGAGTTGGCAACTTGGGACCTTGTCTTATTCTTCTTATAGCTTCACTTCTTCTTCACATTGAAACAATGCATCTCGATCTCCTTTCACTTGCTGTGTTGTCTCTTCTTCTATAAAGCTTTTGTTTGTGCATCTCTCTGTAATAATCTAAATCATGTATTGTATACAAAAACGACTCCTCTCTGTACTATTGTATGAATATGCTATGTGAATTTGAAGCTTCTGCAGTTAATAATCTGCACCTCCAAAATCTCAAGAATGTGTTTTTTTCTTTCCTAATCATAAAGCAATTCATCTTTCACTTGTCACTTTGATATGTAAAGTTGAATAATTTGGATTTTTTTCTCAGTCAATTAAGCATTCAAGAACACGTCTTTTGCTGGATCATGAAGTAATTCATCTCTCATTTACACTCTGATTCCCTCTTGCAAGTTGCAAGTTAAAAGTACTGTATTGCTTTTTCACCAATGCAAACCCAAAAAAAAATGGACTTTAATATTTTGCCTCTTCCTATTTTCACTTTGATCTTCTTTTTAGTTTGCACCACATCCCATTTTTGGGTTTAGGGTTTAAGTTAAAAAAGTACTGCTTTTTTTTCACCAATACAAAACCAAAAGAAATGGACTTTTTTCTTTTGCCTCTTACTATTTTCACTTTGATCTTCTTTTTAGTTTGCACCACATCCCATTTTTGGCATGAATCGTTGCGCCGCTCACGAGTTCAACAGATTCCGGCGATCCACGCAGCTCCACGTCGAATTTCTGCAACAACATAGCTAGTGCGACGGTCGATTCCATTAGTGCAAACTGGTCTCCTATGCATTTCCTTGGTCCTCCACCAAATGGTAAGAATGCAAAGTCTGCTATGATCTGTTCTCATCATAATAATACCACACAATGGAGGCAAACTCATGTTACAAAGCATAACAGGGCTAAGTGCAGAAGATTTCAGTTTTACTGATTTACTATTTGAGAATGATGATCCAAAGATTTAAGCAGCAACTAAAAGATGATGACCAAGGGAAAAGATTTGCAAGTTTTAAAATTTTCACCTCGTTCGGGTAGAGTGCACCAGGGCTTCGAGATGGATCAAAGCCTGCCCAGCCTTCGATACCATTGCTCTCCTTTGTTCTTAAGAACCTCTCTGGCTCAAACTCGTCCGGGTTATCCCAAAAGTATGGAGATCTATGGAGATTGTACACCTGAGAGTAAAGAAAGAAAATTATAGAAAAGCAGGTTCCACTGAGGAAACATAAACGAATATAGAAACTACCACTTACAGAAATGAAGATATCAGTCCCTTTTGGAACTTTATGACCTTCTTTTTCACCTTTGTATCCTCCTACAGATGCAAGCAGTAGAAAGACATGGGGAATTAGAGATATATAAGCTCTGGACTAAGTCATCATATGATCATAATGGAATCTTTGTCTGTTAATGAAAGCAACTTTGTATATGGAGCGCTTAAGAAAGTTCAGAATTTGAAACAAACCTGGCAAGGTTTCTGCTTTGAGAGTGCGTCTGATGAGCAAAGGAGGTTGAGGATAGAGACGAAGGACTTCTACAACGATCAGTCGTATGTACCTGCAGAAGCATGAGGCAAAGAGGTCAATGATTCAAATAGAGACCAAAAGAAAGATGAAAGAAGATATCTTTTGAGTTTAACGCACTCGAGCTTTTTCATTGATTCATAAGTGGGTGCACCTTCACCAAGCACGGCATCAATCTCAGCTTGAGCTTTCCTAATTTTTGCTGGATTCTGCAAGTTTTAGAAGCAGAACGTTAAAACTATACAGTGAGATTTTCAAGCAGCAAAGGAAAAAAGAGACAAAGACATGTAAGTGCATACTTGTGCAAGAAGGTAAACAGCCCAAGTAAGAACTGCTGCTGTTGTCTCGTGACCCGCAATCAGCATAGTCATTAGGTCATCCCTCAGCTGTTGAAACAATTGTTAAATGCAACGCATAAGAAGATAGCAAGATTGTTAATCAGAAAGTGATATAATCTTGCCTGCCGGTCATCAATATCAGCACCCCGCATATCAACTAAGAACCGCAAAAGACTTGCATCCTGTGGATACAAGAATACACAATCAGAAGAATGTTTTAAAAAGGACGGAGTCTTTAGTACACTTGCAGGAGATAAACGATAAGAGAACCTTGAGATTAGAGTAGTCTCTTTGCTGGAGTTTCTCTACATCTGTTTCCTGGGAGAAAAAATAACAAAATAAGGAACAAACAGCAGAATGAAGAGCAGAAAAAAAGTGAAATACCTGTCTTGTCTCTTTAGCATTTTGAATGAGTCCATCAAGGCAATCGTTAATAATCTTCAGATCGCTTTGGAACTTTCTTTGCCTAGGTACTATCCATCTGGCTGGAGGAAATTTCCAATAAGGGAAGTAGAAAGTAGATCGATGCTCTGCTTCGAATAGAGTTCCATAAACTGCCTGTGATATAACAAAAGAGATTCAAAAAACCTGGTGAAGAGCCAATATAATAGTAGAATGATTCTAAAATCAAAAACCTTGATCACAGGGGACTCTTTTGTGACAGAGCCAAAGTCATAGTTGAACACGCTAAGTCCAATAATATCAAGAGCCAGACTCGAGAATTCTGCTTCTAGATCCAACTCGATCGTATCCTCTCCACTTGAAACTTCTTTCTCCCTCAAGAGTTTCTCAGATTTCAATATCATTTTCTCCGAACAGTCACTAAATACTTTGACCATGGCCTCCAGATACAACGCATGGAACGCAGGAGTAATAGCTGCAACACAGATTAAAACGAAACAATCATTAATGCATTGGTCCTGCAATCTCTGAAACATAAAGATCACAAAGTGAATTTACCTCTTCTTCTTAACTTCCAGGTATCGAGATCAGCCGGTATCAACCCTTTCCCCATAATCGGCTCTAAGATCTCAGCAAGAACTCCCTAGAGAAACACAGAAAGTTACTTGACGGTAATAAAATGATAAGAAAACAAAAGAAACTGTTCTTTCTCCATCGAACACTCTGTTACCTTGTCATAAGAAAACGCGTTTTCACGGAGGACATGCCTTGCAACAATCGGATCAGAGATCACAACAAAGGCTTTTGGACCAAACGCAAGTTTATACACTCCTCCATGCTTTAGATAAGAACATCACAGAATCAAACAAAGTTGATCAATTCAAGTAAAGCATTAAGATGACTTCTTATAGCATATCTAATGTACCTCCAAGAACCAGTCGTAAAGAGATAAGAAGAGAGGCTTTCCAAACAAATCAGAGACTGCTCCTTCAGCAGTGGGCATTGACCCCAAACTTCCACCGCTTAACAGATTCGTAAAAAGGTTGCTTGCATTGTCCAGTATGTTACCATTCGTCTTTGGCTCTTTGGTATTAGTAGATTGACACCTAAAAGAAAACGCCTCCACATAATCAAATTCCATTACTACAATAATACCAGTCCAAAAACTGTTACTTTGTCTTATTTGGTTCTGAATTTCACAATCCACATCAAAATTTTACACCTTTTCGAATTTATCCTAATTCCACAGAAATCTATAGTTGCCATGCCATATCTCTAATTTGAAGCAAAGAGCAGCAGAAAGACCCCAAATTTCATCAATGGAGACCTAATCTGAAGGTGGAATTAAAAGAAGAGAATTTGGAAGGGAGAAAAAGGCAGGGAAACCCACCTGATGGAAACAGAAGCTCTCCGAGAATTTTCAGTTTGAGGGTAGAGACCGAAGAGGCAGTAATCGCTCCTACCCACATGAAGACCGCCATGGAAGTAGCTCGAAGGGGCATAATGAGTAGCAGCGGCAGGAAAGGCCATGGCTGCCATCTTTCACATGAATCGAAAATCTCTAGAGTTTGAACAAGATTGAACATCTTTGCTTCTTCAGTTCTTCTTATCTTGCGCTGAACAGAAGACGGCCACCACAAGCAGACACAAGACTGCATTTGCAAAGAAGATTTGTGCTTACACTGACACGTGTTACCCATTACATTCTTTTCCATTCTTTTTACCGGAGGAAAAAAGTTTGAGAATTTTATCTGCAATATCAATTTCTGCTACTAAAATATTTTTATTAGATATTATATGATATATAGGTGAAAATATGTGTTTATATATATATATATATATTTGTATATATGTATATATTATAATATATTAGAGATGAGAGAGAGAAGAAGAAGGGGAGAAGAGACGACAAGGGAGAGAAATCATTTCTCTTCAATTATTAATTTCTTCACAAGTACATAATACATATTCCCTCCGGTTGTTTTACTTGTCGTTTTAGAGTTAATTTTTTATTATAAATTAATTATCGTTTTGAATAAACAATGAAACTTATTTTAATAATTTTCCATTTTAGCCCTTAATTAATTAAACACAAACATTCATACGATGTAAAAATATGAATCGTCTTTTTTCTACTAAACACAATCAAACAAAATGAATGCATAAATATTGTTATAGTTTATCATTCAAAGCAATATGGCAAATCAACCCAGAAAAACATTGAAAGTAGAAGATGATAAAAACTTCCATGATGTTCAAACCGAAAAGTCCAGCATCAAAGTAGTGCACGCTTTCGACCTCAATGAACTCCCCAACGAAGATGATATTCAAGCGAGCAAGATAGTCGACATTCAACCTGAAGTCAATCCCAAATTTGTTCATGATTTCGATCTAAACATACCAAGCAATGAAGAAGAACCACATCATGACAACGGGATTCAAGATCTGATAATGGAGATTCTTAAAATTTATTGTCCATCTGCTTTTAAAAAAGCTTAAATGTCTAGTACTCCTATTTCTAATTCTGTTTTTTTTTTCCTTTTTGGAGCATCAATAAAATTGTAGTCATGGATATCCCTTGTACTTTTATAAAATCTAAAACTTCAGTCTACTCAATTACATTTACTAGTTCTCCTGTTTCTAATTTTGTTGTTTTTGTTTTTTTAGAGCATCAATAACATTCTAGTCATGTTGCTACCAGTTTACACTATCTACAGAGTACTAATGACTTAAAAAAAAATACAAATAAAATAAAGTAAAACAATCTGACATTTGTTAGTGTTTTCAAGATGGTCATGTCGGTAGAAACCTGCTTTAAAGTTTTTTCCACATAAACTTGGAACATCCAATAAGATAGCATTAATCAAAAATGGAATACCGCCTGATTGAAAGTAAAAATTTATTAACACAATTGATAATCTTATCAAAACGACAGCTAACCTTAATATCTTAATTGATTTATTACATTGTTTACAATGGAAGGATCACATTTAATTTGTCTCGGAAGCATGCGCTCTCGTTCCAAGGCTTCTTTTTTAATGTGTGGGATCTTGTAATTATTAGATCCTCCAATCCTCATTGTCTCTTGCATGCAGAGTTGCAGAGTTAAGAAGATGTGGTTTATCTTCCTAGCTGGGTACTCTTCAAAAGCTGTATTGACTGCATCTATAAGCTGTTATGTGTTCTTAGGACAAACATGATGTTGTAGTGCTTGTATTGCACTAAAGAAACCAAGATCCAGAACATTCATATCCGGTGAATTAGGCGGTTGACACATCAGTCTGATATCAAATCCGTTCTGTGAAGCCTCTAGTTGAAAATCTGTATCAGTTGGAGCCACATGGGTTCTAGCGTTATCCTGTTGAATAAAGATTATTTTTCCTTCATCTTCAACAGACCATTTCTCACGAATCTTAGGTATAACATCTTCCAGAAACATTTTTCTAACATCATCTCTCTTAACTGAAGTAACTGGTTTGATCTCCATTGTCCCAGCTTCTCTATTTCTACTCCTCCTTTGAGCAGGCTGAAGTTTGACAAAAGGAAACACGCCTATCTTTCCAGAGAAAGTTTCTACTCCATCAGCATTGAACCTTGGCCTAGCCATTGCAACTAGCACCATGACATTCCCAATAAAATTCTTGCTTTGACATGTCCTTATAGGATCATCTTCTTCAGGTAAAAGGTAGTAGTTCTGGGTTTTCTTGGTCATGTAGAATCACTTTTCATCAATATGTACAATGTTGTACATATCAATAAACTGTGGTTCATGACTCAAGCTTAGAGGATCCAACATCTTCATGCAAAACCTTAGCCTTGCCACCTTATTCTCTTCTTTTAGATGTGGTTTGAGAGCATTAGAATGCCGCCTCATCAAACCTTCTTTCACCCTCTTATATAGGGTTGAGTGACTAACTCCTAGAGCTTCAGCTAGCGACCTCAAAGTTGTTCGTCAGTGTAGAGGAGTGTCCAAAACACGTTGGACGTCTATCTGAATCCGCTTGCGACCACATCTGTTCTTCCTTCTTTGAGAAACATCAACCAATGCACCAGCTGGAGTGTCTTTTGCTTGTTTCCAAATTCGCTGGACAATTCTAATATGCATAAAATGCAAATTCGCTACTTCTTTAACAGTCATTCTACCTAATTTCCCTCTAACACTCCTTTCAAGCAAAGCATTATATACTGCCCATCTATGACGATTAGTGTAGTTCTTCTTACTTGTAGAGCTACCAATTGCATTAGGTCCTATTTCAAATCATTTTAGTTTTTATCAGTAGACATATGCATCATCAAAACACAATACTAGTGATATTGCTAAGTTTACAAAATACTAAGTCTATGTTCTAGGTTAAGATACATACCTTGATCGCCATGGAATTCATTTTGACTATCTCCGTTATCATTTTGACCTGCTATACATTGACATTGAGGAACCACAGATCAACAACTGTATTTAAAATTGTAATCGCTTACAAAAAAAAAACATTAGCGACATCAAAACAGTAGTCTATTTAACTAAACAACACATCGAGTTTAAGAGCATAAATACCTTGTTCTCCAACAAAGGGGTTTTCGATATCATGGTCTTCATTTGTTCCTGTCCAACAAATGAAGTGATCATAGAATATGAAAATACAATGTGACATCATGAATCCTAAAATAAAGAATAAGACAAGAACTACATAATTACCTGTGTCTCCGTCGAAGGGATATTGTGTTTCTTCATACAGCTGATGAACATCTAACTCTAATATTTCAGAGTTATTATCTTCTGCTGGATTCACATTTAGATCAAGTATAATTGTACTTTCAGAAGACTCTAGAACGGTGACATCTACATCCAATGGATCGAGATTTGCTTCCTCAGCCACAAAAACAGAGGCACCTTCGTCTCTCAAACCTCCATTTTTAAAATCTTGATATTCACTAATTCCTGGAATGATATTCAAATCAAAAGAGTGGCTTTCATTGTTAGTAGGTGAAAGGTTTAAATCAAATGTAGCCATGGAAGATGATCAGAAAATGTTCTTGTTAATGGTGTATATAATGCACGAGTAAAAGTTTTGAATTTTTATATTTGCCTCCATCTGAATTGGTTATTTTGTTCCCTCCAATTACACTTAGTCAAAAACGTGATTAATCCGTTGACTATGAGGAATACTAAGAGGTCGTTAGTATTGAAATTAAATTTTTAAAACCAATAAAAATCTGTTTTGTAAAGAACAACGACGACTAGTAAATGAGAATCGTAAAAGTTTTGTTCAAAACTTTCTCAGTTCCAATTATATAGACCAATTTTGTCCCTAACCTTTTAACGGCAAAGGTTTCATGAAGTCATAACCTAGAGCAACACTACATGGTATGAAAAGAAGCACAAGTATTCTATAACCAACTAAAATTCATGCAGCAAGCCTTATTCCGATATCAAAACCCAAACCTATTTTATTCCGAAGGTCGTTTCCCATTAAAAGCCAAGTAATCTGCAGAACAAGAGTTATCTAATCTAGGGTAACACTGCCATAGACAGGATTGAAATGGCGTAGCATAAATGTTGTTGTGATGGGACATAATGTTGTAAGAGGATTTTCTTTTGGTTTTACTTACTTCTTGTATGACTAGAGGATCGTCGGAGAATCGTTGTGCAAGTTTGATTAGCTTGTCTCGACCTCGCTTCTCAACTATGGTACTCTTGTTAGAGTCACTTCCTGCCAACTAGAGATTCAAATATACATTTAGACAAACAATTCTCACCCGTCAAACAATGCTAATTTACATTAGTGTCCATAGGCTTTGGAAAAGCTTAGAACTCAATAACATGCATTCGTAACTCTTTTTCTATTGGAAGAACATGAACATACGCCGCTGTATTATAATGGTACGGTAAAAGCTAGAACCCTGAAATTTGAAGCAGGAGAATGAATAATTGAAAGGCATCCAAAATTAAAGAGGCAACTTGCAGAACAGTTACGAAGCTACACACCTTTGACAACAGGGAACATAACGTCTTAGCAGCAGTTTTGTTGCCTTGTTCACCGCTATCATCTATGCATCGAAGAAGCGTGTCTATTCCACCAGTTTCAGCAATCGATTTACATATTTCATCCTAGTTACAGCAAAAAAAAAAAAAAAAAAAAAACAGGACGCAAGATTAGGAATTTGCAGTGACCTAAGCAATAGTGTTATGACACAAAGACTTCTAGTAGGATACTTACATTTACAGCAATTTATTTTAATGCAATACTAGCTGTCACCAATGCTATCAGATCCAATCCCTGCCTGCAATGCTTCGGTGAGGGCTCTTGCGATCCATAATTTGGCAAATGTCCGTGCATAACCATAAACCTAAAACAAATGAAAGCAAGAAAGAGATGGTCTAAATAAAAAAAACACACCAAGACATTGTAATCTCCTTATAAGCGCGATTCAAAATCAAACTTCCAAAAAAAAAATCAAAAAGAGTCAATCATGGAAGCAGCTCGAGAGAACTCACGAGAATGCCATTATCCGTCGGCGGAGGAGGAGCAATATCGATGGAGGAAGAAGAAGACATCTTAATCCTGAAACTGAACCATACAGGAAGAGAGAAGAATCTATTAGAAACTGGGTCAGAGCATGAGCAAGTAACGGAGATTGTAAATCGGAGCTCGAAAAAGTGAAAACTGAGAAATCGACCTCGTGAATTGACGGGAAGGCGGAAGAGATATGCCGGAGAAGAGAGGAAGAGGTGTGAGATGAGTGAAGCACTTCATTTCTCTTGGTCTCTCTATATAAACCCACTTTCAAGAATTTTTTCTGGGTTTGGATTTCTATTTCCTATCATTGTGATGACATGCATCTGCAGAATTTCAAAGAAGAAGCTAATCTAAGAGAAGCAAATTTGGTTTCGGGGAAGAGATAATGAATTAAGTGGTTTTTTAAAAAATAAGGTAAATGAAGTTTTTTAAAATACAATCGTAAATTGTTGTTTTTATGAGGCTAATGTAGTCTTTGTATAATTTTTCTTAGTAAACGTGCATAGCTCAAAAACGACAAGTAAAAAAAACCGGAGGGAGTATATATAGAGGAATGAGGCGGTGGCAATTGAAGGCGGTGAAAGTGTGGATAATAATCCATATTTCATAACACTCCCCCTTAATTATCCATCACCATTATTATTCTGTCATCTCTTCTTTATCGATATAATCTAGCTCTTGAATCAATAGTCTCTTCTTCGGATTGATGATTCTTGACTTCTACGTCATTGGAATTGTAATACTTTCTTCCGATGTCTTGGATATCTGTTGCGTATTCTTTGATGCTTTGTTAAAACTTTGTCATAGAAAAACCCAAAATGACAAAAAAAAAACTATGGCTAAGAAAAAAAATACATCAACGCATTTCATAATACTTCTTCCGGAAGTGTATTTCTTTAGATGTTTATCTTTTTGCGTTTTTCTTTGCTGCCTCGTTAAAAACCTCGTCATGGAAAACCCCATTGGGATAAAAACCATGATAAGAGAAAAAGAGTGCAGCCACGCATGTTATCATAGTTCTCCCCCTGGAAGCATCATCTTCAGGATATGCATTCCATTTATATACACCATCTTTTTGAGATCTTTACAAATAGAGCCTTTGTGAACAAACTCGTATGATTGTCATTCTCGGGTCATTGGACGTCTGGTCTACAGTTTGAGTTGGTCATGCTCTCTTGTTTCAAAATTTTCTTTTGATTAATATAAATTTACCAAATAAATTTTCAGATGCTTCGGGCATTCTTGATCCTTCTAGGATTTTTATCAATATATTACTGAATGTGATTATATCCATGACCGAGGAACATCAATTTTCGGTCTTTGAGAAAAACTTTTGTGCCACAAACAAAATTTTATATCTTGTGACTTTGTTTTATCATTGCTTCCAAACAAAGACCCATTTGGTCTCGAAGGATATTACATCTTCAGGTATAATGACCATAAGTCCAAAGATATTTTCTTTTGTTGATTCTTCTGAAATATTTTCATTTTATTCTTTAATTTTCTTTCTCTTCAGAAGAATTTTAGATTCCATTAGCCTCCCCCTTTTTTAACTGAACCTTACATTCATTTACTTTACTCCGATAAAATTTTGTTCTTCAGGAACATTAATATTCGTGGAGCACATCCAAGTTTTATGAACTTCAACTTCGAAATATTTTGTAGGGAGGATTAAATAGCACTTTCTTTAGAAATGCTTAAATCTGAGTTTTTCTATCTGTTAGATCCTACTAGGATCTTTCAAGATAAGATGTTTAATTGGGATACCTGCAAAACAAAATAAACATAGTTTTCCTAAAAAACATCATATGTTAGGACTAAATCAATGATCACTTTCTTTGATCTATCTATTGGTTAATCTTAACTAAAACTATTAAACCCCATGCAACATATACTCATCAAATAGAGTTCCCGGGAACATAATTATGATATCATTAATCCTTCAAGGATTCTTTCCTTCGCAATTCAAGTCGCTCATTTTCTGCCAGACTTGATATTACTTTTAATGTTTGGACTGCTGGTCCAAAAATTTCTCATTTTTCAAATTTTATTAGATTTCTTTATATATATGAAAGAACCACAAATATTGTCCTGAAGAAATATTTGTAAAAGTTCCCGAAGAAGTGCATAAAGAAAAATGTCTAGAAGACATATTTAAATGTTTCAGAAGAACTACATAATTTTCATCCAGAAGATG